ATAAGCTTATTAACGCTTACTTAAGGGGCGTTATAATTAAATAATCTCTAGGTTATTAGGATATCCTAAGGAACGAAGTAGCCGATATACTTACGAAAGAGGGCTTAGAATTACTTTATAATTTAGATAGCTTTCCTACCTTAGTAGGGGTTAGGAAGTTACTCCGGGCTACCCTCCGATAATACTTAGTATAATAATAGGACGGGCTTTAGCTTAAACTTAGCCGGTACTATTATAAGTAGGACTTAAATCTTAATATAAAGTACCCCCCGGAGCTTTACTTATTATAACCTACCCTTATTAAGTTAATTACCCTTCGTACTTAGTATAGGGACTTTATTTCCTATTACCGGAGGTTTAACTACGACGAAGATACTTATAAGATAAGATATTACTAGTATAATAAGTTAAAGATACCGGAATACCTAGTATTCTACCGGCGCTTATTAGCTTAATTCGATAAGTAACCCTTCCCCTAGCTAGAAAAGGATAAACCGCGTATTCGCCTAAGGACTATAGCCGTAAAGAGAGAGTACTTAAAGCTATTAATAAAGTACCCGAAGGCCTTCCGGGAGTTTATTATAGCTACGGGTATCTATATACTACGACTATACTAACGACCGCTATAACCTAACGAAGTATAGTATACTATAGTATATACTATATAGCTAGCTACTCGCTAATAGTTAGCTATACCCGACTTATAATAACTACTTCTTAACTATATAATAGGGGACCTAATACGGTATTTCGATAACGAAGACGATATACTAGACGGAAGTATCTTTAACGGTACGCTTAAAGATAACTTATAACGCTAGCCTAATAACCCTTATTAAGGTTAAAAGGCTTAGTACTCGTTACGACGAGCCCTTACTTAGAGGCGTACGCTTTAAGAGATCGTTAAGGGGTATACTCCTTAGTAGTCTAGGAAGGTAAGGCTTACTAGTTATAGTTTAAATTACTAGGTATCGTACTTATTACCCCTTATATTTACTTATTATTAGGGTAGTAATCTCTTAAGGGAAAAAGGGGAAGGAGGAAGAAAAGGAGGATAAAGAAAAGGGTAAGGTTTAAAAAGGGGGAGGGAGGATAAGTTTTTATTTTAACTATCTTTAGCCTACTAGGGTAGGTTTTTCTATATATAGGATAGCGTCGGTTAACTTTACTTTACTTATAAAATACTAAAAATAAGTATTACGATACTTTAAGTAGGCTATTTATATACGATACGGCCTTTAGCCCTTATACTAATATAATAATACGATACTACCTACGCCCCCGTAGATAAAGGCGGAGGGAGGTAGCCCTAATCCGGTACCTGGTACTAACTAATACGACTCTGATCGTCTGGATGAGATAGGTATTTTTGTATCTAGATTAGCCCAGACGCGTCCCTACGGCCAATAAGGCTAGTGGGCGGGGGCCTTCGGCCCCCACCCCCCCGGACGTTAATTGGAATAAACAAACAAACATCAACAACATCGGCACCCGTAACCAAGCAAACTCCCGACAACCCAACTACCACCAAAACCTGCGCATCCAAGCCATCAACTCACTTCATCCACCCCGCGGCCTTAGACTCGGGCCCCCAATTCATATTCGCCACGCCCAACACCACCTCCCCGGGCACCCGACAAGCCTGCGTCACCCCATCCGTCCCATCCCTCGCCTCGCACACCTCCCCGGTGATATTCCCCCGCACCGTCGCGTCAAAGAGGACCCTACCACCCCCATCCAGTCAGTCCCTCTCCACCAGCAAGCGCCACACACACATAGCAGGACTCAGGAGGAAAATCTCACCTCTCCCCGCCCCCCTCCCCCGCAGCCGGCGCACACCACCACTGCAGCCGGAACCCGATCCACGCCTGCGCCGCCGCCCGCCGCTCGACAATGTACTGGCACCGCGCCAGCGCCTCGGGGAGGGCCGCGCCGTCGGCGCCCGGCTGGCACACGCTCCAGGTGCCGCCGCTGAGGGTCACGGGGATGCGCTCCAGGCGGTAGGTCTCGGCGGAGAGGGGGTTGGCGATGGAGAAGGTGCCGAGGGTCCGGCTGGTGTTGGTGGTTTCGAGGAGGAAGGTGGTGAGGAGGAAGGGGGCGGGGGTGGTGGTTGTGGAGGGGAGGGGGGTGGGGCAGGTGGGGGTTGAGAGGGCGAGGAGGGGGAGGGGGAGGAGGGGGAGGGCGAGGAGGGGGAGTTTCATTTTGGGGTCGGGGGGGGGGGGGGCGGGGCAGGGGGTGCTGGTTGAGAGGGGAATTTGGTGGGTTTACCTAGTTTCAGTTAGGGGTGTGGGAGGTGGTGGTTTTATAAGCTTCTAGAAGGAGCCTACATGTATTCTGGCAGTGGGGAGTCCGATGTGTACTATGTTCTTGATGGGGGTTGTATGCGTGGAATCTACCCGATTGGATGGCCTTGACATGAAGCGGCACAGGCCGACGACGCTGTATGTTTCCACTTAGGCTGATATTTTCCGAGAGACATTTGGGGGGGATCTTGGAAGGAGTTTAGGCAGTTGAACGGCTTTTCTATTGACGGTCGGTCAGGACCGTTGGTTACCGAGTCATGATGATTCACAGTTCAGAACACCTTTTCTCGTGCTTTGGGTTGCGACAACTTGGGTTCAACGTTCTTTCAACATGTCAGCTGGCGGCTGAAAATGCGGAATGTACGTTGATGGTCTGGAGTTGGGTTCCAACGTTGGAGTTGTCCCCACTGACGAGCAAGTAGCACTCGTAGATGGGTAACTTTTTAGTATTAACACACAAATTCTTGGAAGGCTCTACCTCTAACAGGAAATAGAACATCCAGATTATTCTTGGGCACTGCATATATTCCTCAACATGTGAACTAAGACAGCCGCTAGACGTCACCACAGCACCAGTTGATGGCATCACAACGGTGTTAGCTAGCTATGTGTCACATCGACCTCCTCGGTATACTACCTCTGGGGCGTCTCTCCCAGACCTAGACTATATATTGTTACAAGTTGATGGCATTATGTTCAGTTCCCCTGACATGGGTATATACACATCCGAGGCGAACACATATGTGTTAATATGTACCTACATCCGTATACACATACTAGCTTGAACCATGGATGACAGAAGACGCATGCAAGACGCAGGCAAGAAGCACCTCCCAGACAAGGTATGACGTGCTGGAATGGCAGCTGACTGCAGTGCAGCAAACTTGAGGTGGGGTGATAAAAACAATCGTGTCGTAGGTCCGTTGCTGAACCTTTCCTTCCTTTCCTTCTTTACGCCTTTGCGTAACTTTGGTCAACCGTTAGCTGCCAACGCTCATACTTGAACCCAAACACTTCTCCATCAATACTTGGACCCGACCTCCCTCATTTCCCCCCCGACCGAACCCCCGCACGCTGCAACAATGCCGCACACCACCAAGCGCCTCCACCATTGTCCGCTGGACAATGGGCGGGAAGGCAACTGTCGGCACTCGACCGGGCGACACCGGTACTGCACCCGCCACCAAGTGGTGTGCTGGGTGCACGACTGGGTGTGGACCAGGATGTGCGATGTAGGTTGTGTGATGTGCGTGGAGGGTGCGTTGAAGAAAGAGGAGAGGGGTGCTGACGATGGGGAAGATAACGAGGTGGCGGCGGCGGCGGTGGGCGCGGTCGAGGGGAGGAAGAGGAAGAGAGCCGCTCCCGCGCCGCCGGCCGTGGCTAACAGGGTGGTGAAGAAGAAGTGCAACAAGAGGTTGAAGAGGTGATGTGTCGCCCGTCCTACGTGTAGGCGCGCCCGGAGCTGCTGCCTTTTTCCCACTGGGTTTTTTACTGGCGCAGTTTCTGGGCGTTTGCTGGTAGGACGGCGATGGCGATTTGTTCTCGGTGTTTTCTCTGCTCTTTCATCTGTTTTATGCTCTTGGTCTCTTGATGTGTTGTCTGGTCTTTGGCTTGGTCGTAGTCGGTGATACCCACTAGGTCCTTTTTCTTTTTTTTATTGAATTTTGGCTTGCCTTGATGCCCTGAGAAATGGATGCCCTTGGTGCCTCCCTTCGATGTGTCGGGGTTTGTATCTGCCATGTCCGTGGTGACGACATCTTCGCACGCCGGTACCTTATCCGGTGCCCGTTGGGGGACTATCCGTCATCGCTCCCCGTAGCCCAGCTCTAAAGCACGCGGCATTTGTATAGGTACGCAAGTGGGCCCGCAAAGGGCGGATATCTTGTGTGTATAGTGGAAAATAGGGGGGGATGGAAAGGGGGCGGTACGAGTGGTTGTCTGCCTAATCCAATGGCTGGCCAAGACGGCTCGTGGAATTGATTCGGACCTGCAACCCTTGACAGTTGTACGTGGTGCTCGTAGTGGTCGTGGTATTCTTGGTGTTCGTGGTGCTCGTGGGGCTCGTAGTGCTCGTGGGCACGGCTCCCGGTCGTGGTGCTCGTGGTGGTAGGTCGCAGTGGTCGTGGTATTCTTGGTGTTCGTATGGTGCTCGTGGTGCTCGTGGTGCTCGTGGGGCTGAGGCTCGCGGGGCTACTGTGGTTCCTGGTCGTGGTGGTCGTGGTGTTCCTGGTAGCTGTGGTGCTCGAAGTGGCCGTTGGGCTCCTGGGGGTTCTGGGGCTCCTGGTACCGCTTCTAGCCCGGACTCACTGGGGCCAATCTGACCAATTACTGGTCAGGTCCTTGGGCAGGGGGCAGCTAGAAACGGGCCCGACATCCACCCTAAATCTGATTCCAGTGCAGTGTATAGAACCGCCCGTATATATCAAAGCATCGGGCCTTCCGACCTTCGCTCACACCGGAGCGCACTCGCTCAGCTTTGAATGATCATATTCCGAGGAGCGCCGCTGCAATTGTTGCCAATCTGGAAATCTCCAGGGTACATGCTCATCTCCATACCCTGCTGGGCGGCCATGCTGTTGACGCCACTCACATATACATACATCCCATCATCCCCATGTGCAGCAGAGGTGTGTCCTTTTGGTGCAAAATAAAAACAGCTCAACTTTCCCCAAGTCATCAGGAAGTGGAAGCAAAAATTGACAACTGTGAGATTCGAACTCACGCCCTTTCGGACCACGGAATCTAACATCACAGTGCTGTGAATCAAGATCGAAATCAAGGATGGTTCCTTAACGTGGCGCCTTAGACCGCTCGGCCAAGTTGCCCTATGATGGATGAGAGTATGGAGCGAGAGATGGGCCTAAATCTGCAGAGTGTGGATGTTGTGGATGTGGTGTTGGAATACCCGATGGGTGACCCTGCTTGTGTCTTGATGTTGTCCAGGTCCCTCTCCACAGTCAGACAAGGATCCTCGTCTACGATAACATTCACATACGACCATACCCACTAGAAAGCCTGGCACCCTTCCGCTCTTCCCATAGAAACGCCAGTGAGGGCCACAAGGGACGATCAGCGAATCCCTGATGTTTTATTCCCCCCGGCCAGGATATCAGAAACATTCACTGCCCCAGACGCCCCAAACCCCGCCACTGAGCATGGGAAAGTGTTCCCCCCCTCCTACATCGAACAAAGTCTCTCGTTCAACCATGTCGCCATGCTCCCAAAGTTGTCGACAGCCTGTATCTCAGCCTTGACGTTTAACATCAACATCCTCTGCAACTCGTTCAGCTGTTCGAGATTGTCGCCATCAACAACATCCACAGAGCAAATATCGCCCATCAGGTCAACAGCCTTCTTTCGATCTGCTTCTGTAAGTGGCAGGAAGGTATCCACCGGGTCCCTAGAGTCGCGGATCTTCTGACGCTTGCTTCGGTGCTCCTCCTGGGATCCTATGATTGGTCAGTCCACAAGCCCCTGGTAAGCGTACATGTAGGGAGGAGGAGTTACCGTCGTGCGAATATGCCACTGATTCCTGGCTAGAGACGTCCTGGCTGGATTGGCTGTCGTTTTCAACAATGTCCGAATCCTCTTTGCAACTGGCGGACAGAACATCGTTGCTTCGGATTCCTAGCCATGTCATATCTGGAACAGTGGTGTCTTGCTCGTGGGCAAGTCTTTTGCTTCCACCCATGTACGTCCGAAGAATGGCAATGCCGTGAGGGTCAAAATCGACGAGGCCATAGAACTCAAGTTGTGGTCTCGCGGAATGTATGACTGAGAGAAACCGCCTCGTCGCCAAGTCGGGGAAGCCTTTGGCCTGGTTCTAGGGTGTCAGAATGAGAAGATAGAGCTCGAGGGGCCAAGCACTCACCGTGACTATGATTCCGGGTCCAGCGATGCTATTGTTTGCGTATTGCGATCTTGCCAGAGTTCGAAAGGTTGCCTTGGCAACTATTATTAGCAATTAACTGAAACGATCGCTTGGGAGGCGCACCTCTTTCTCAACAACGAGCAGCCACTTTGCATCATGAAAGTCCACTTTCTCGACTGAAGCAATGTGGGGGAGCAAGATCTACAGCTTTTCGTCAGATCAAGTACCAACATCGAGAGCTTGCCAAAACACTTACACCGTCTCGGGGATGGTTGCAGTGAACCACGTCGCCGCCCCGTAGGATCATGTCGACTGGTCCGGATATCAGACCCTTTGCGGCAGCAACCTTGGAATCGTCAGCCAAAATGAAGAATATGAATCTCACGGGAGAAGGAACAGACAATGTTGAGATCCTCGCGGCCAAGCCCGAGTGTGTAAGCCAGGTTGTCGACCATGGCATCGACAACACCTTGAGACTTGAACAAGTCCACATTCTGGTAAAATATGTTTCTGCCCAAAGTCAACAATGCTCACCCTGTGCATACCGTGAATTCCATTTGGTACCTTTTGGTGATGATATTTCCAGAGAGCAGGGCTTCATGAGAGAGCTCGATGATTCGAAATAGGGCTTCTGAAGAAATGTAAACATGGAGCTCGAATTACATTCTCAGAACATTTCCTCGGGGGCTCGGTCACTGACCGAATCTCCGAGCTTCCTGGGCGGTGCGCCCGGGGAATCTGACCGAGTCGCCATGTTGTTCGTCGCCCTGGTGGGCCTGGGGGATACGTGTTGTTCGAAAGGGGATGGTGAGCTCCCTGCCCTCACTGATTGCATCGACAATTCCTTCCAAGAGATTTTCGATTTGCTCAATGGCTGTTTCTTGAGGCGCGACTTGTGGAATCGTCACGATACTGCTCGATGCAGGAAGATCCCGGTTGTCGTCGAGGACAAGGTCAAGTCCCGGACACATTTCAGCCAGTCTGTCGCCCTCGCCGGGGAAACTCCGTAGGTAGCGAACGCCGAATGGAGGCTTCAGGTGACGACAAGACGAAGAACTGGGAGCTGTGCCTGGTGTGTAATTAATTCCGGGTCCTGTCGCAAAAAAACCCTCGTCGAGGAAAGCAAGCAAGCCCCAACCCTCCTTCCATCTCTCTTCCAGCTCGATGTCGGTGTGTCCTTCATGAAAGTCAGGAAACCAATCAACTTACACGGAAAGAGCATCGAGGTTCGTGCGCTTGCCCGTGTTCGAACTCGCATCCCTGCCAAGCCGTGGGGCAAGCTCCAGGGAGACGTGAGTGGTCAATTCATGCAGGAACCAGGAACAGCGAAAACCCCCTGCAAGGACGCGCAATGTTTGTCACATGCCGACTTCCAGTGGCCTAACCACCTGTGGCCTGATTGCAATTGCAGGCGACACCGTTGCTTCGTCGAACCTCTCCCTCTCCAACAAGTTCAACGACAATAGCACACCCTCCCGTCAATTGCAAACCCAAGCCTCTCGCCATGGCTCGAAAAAAGGCCACCGGCGCGAGCCCAGCCGTCAATCTCGAAAAGGGCGACACGAAAAAGAGATACAGCGACGTCCATGGCGCGATCAACGACCACGGCGCCAAGAGGCCGCGCATCGAGGACAGGACCGACTATTCGCGATGGCGCATGCGTGACGACGAGAGCCGCCACACCTGGCATTATCTCGAGAGTGACGAGGAGCTGAAGGCCTGGCCGCAGACCGCTGCCGACAAGTACTTTCTGGGTCTCCCCCTGGTGCGTGACAAGAGTCGTGTTGACACCGCCCCTATTCCATGCTAATCACCCGCTACCCCCCAGGACCTCCCGGATCTCCCCCCCGCAAAGACACCGCTAGATAGTGTCAAGAACGGCCTCGAATTCTTCGAAAAGCTCCAGCTCCCGTCCGGCCACTGGGGCTGCGAATATGGCGGTCCCATGTTTCTCCTGCCAGGCCTCGTCATCGCCTGGTACGTGACCAAGACGCCCATCCCGTGGTACTTTGCGACCGAGATCAAGAACTACCTCTTTGCGCGCGCGCACCCCGAGGACGGCGGCTGGGGCCTACACATTGAGGGGGAGAGCACAGTGTTTGGGACATCGCTCAACTACATAACCCTGAGGCTGGTGGGCGTCGAGGCCGATCATCCCAAGATGGTCAAGGCACGAGCTCTCCTCCACAAGCTGGGAGGAGCCACACACGCCCCCCACTGGGCCAAGTTCTGGATGTCGATTCTCGGCGTCACAAAGTGGGACATTGTCAACCCTGTTCCCCCAGAGCTCTGGCTTCTGCCAGACTGGGTGCCATTTGCGCCCTGGAGGTGGTGGATCCACATGCGGCAGGTCTTCTTGGCCATGAGCTACATCTGGTCCAAGGGATGGCAGGCCGAGGAGACGGATACCATTCGGTCGCTTCGAAAGGAGATGTTTGTCGAGGACTGGGAGACGATCGACTGGGCAAGCCACCGGAACTCCATCAACGAGGGGGATAACTACCACCCCAAGTCATGGGTCCTGAACACGATCAACTGGGTCCTCGTCAACGTATACAACCCCTATATCCGACCCAAGGCCTTGGTAAACAAGGCCGAAGCGTGGGTTTCGAAGCTGGTCGACATGGAGGACGAGAACACCGACTACGCCGACTTGGCGCCCGTCAACGGCGTCATGAATTTTGTCCTCTGCTACGTGCGAGATGGGCCGGATGCTCTTTCGGTGCAGCGGCACAGAGAGAGAGCTCAGGAGTTTCTCTGGGTCAAGGAGGAGGGCATGCTCTGCAATGGCACCAACGGTGTCCAGTGCTGGGACACAGCGTTCGCCATCCAAGCTGTCATGGATGCGGGACTGACCGAGGATCCGCGTTGGCGGCCCATGCTGATGAAGGCTCTGCAGTACCTCGACAATCAGCAGATGCGCGACAATGTCAAAGACCAAGACAAATGCTACCGCCAGCAACGCAAGGGCGGGTGGGCGTTTAGCAACAAGGACCAGGGCTACGCCGTGAGCGACTGCATCTCGGAGGCGCTCAAGTCGGTCATCATTCTGCAAAAGACACCGGGCTTTCCAACATTGCTGGATGACCAGAGAATCTTCGATGCCATCGACACACTCCTCACCTACCAGCACGCCGATGGGAGCTGTGCGTCGTATGAGCCCGCGAGGGCAGGCGAGTGGATGGAGACGCTAAACGCGGCCGAGGTGTTTGGAAGGATCATGGTCGAGTATCCCTACCCCGAGTGCACCACAGCCGTCGTGACGGCCCTGTCCCTCTTCAACAAACACTGGCCTAGCTACAGGTCAAACGACATCAAGCGCTTTGTGAAGGCGGCTGTCTCGTGGATCAAGACGGCGCAGAAACCAGACGGCTCGTGGTATGGCAGCTGGGGCATCTGTCACACGTACGCCGGCATGTTTGCGCTGGAGAGTCTGTCGAGCACCGGGGAGACATACGAGAACAGCGAGTATTCCAAGCGAGGATGCGAGTTTTTGCTCTCCAAGCAGCGGGAAGACGGCGGATGGTCGGAATGCTACAAGGTGAGTCCCATGCCCACGAGTATCTTGCGATGCTAACAGCCACAGGCCTGTGAAACCGGCGAGTACATTGAGCACGCGTCCGGATCCCAGGTGGTCATGACGGCGTGGGCCCTCATCGGACTCATGAAGGCCAAATACCCCGACGTCGAGCCCATCAAGAGGGGCATCAAGCTCATCATGGAGCGCCAGCAACCCAACGGCGAGTGGCTGCAGGAAGCCATTGAAGGCGTCTTCAACAAGAGCTGCATGATCTCGTACCCCAACTACAAGTTTACCTTTCCGATCAAGGCGCTGGGCATGTTTGCGCAAAAGTATCCCGACGAAAAGGTGATTTAGCGAGGAGGACGACACTTTGGTGAAGCATGTATATGGCAATCTTACTCATAGACTCGGCATCTGATAATGTTAATACG